GGTACCCCACAGCGATGCTATTGCTGCTGCTGCTGTGTTGTTAAAGGGGTCAGGGCAGCATCCCTGGGCTGTCATGGACGGCTCCTCTCCCCTCTCCCCTCTCCCCTGCCCCTGTGGGGGGATCTCAGAGCCACTCGTGGCCTGGGCTGGAGAAGCTCTGGAGCCCAGTGTGTTCCCGTGGCAGTGAGCACCATCCCTGGCTGCTCCCAGCCCTGTCCAGCCCGGCCTTGGAGCCTCCCAGGGATCCAGGAACGGTCACCACCACCGAAAATTGTGCACTAGGTCAGCAGCCTGTGCCTGGAGAGACAAAACAAATCCTTCTGATGGAAAATGAGGTGACTAAAATGTGCCGACAGGCAAACATTTCCCTTCTGTGCACACTGAGCAGTTGTGATGAGCTCGTGTTAAACTCTGGTCATTCTGGTGAGGCCCTGGATTTATTTCCACGTACAACCCATTCCCCAGTTCTGTTCTGAATTAGTTTAAACATTTGGTAAGGTCTTCAACTGCAAATATCTAATTTCTTATTCAATATTCAGAATTCCAAATGAAATAAATGATCTGTTTACATGCATCAGTCAGACCATCTGCTTTCATAGGAGAATTCAACAAAGAATCCATTAATTGTCATGCATGTTTATTCATCATTCTTAATTCATAATTCTTATAAATAATTAAATCAGAAGATCTTCCGCAAATAAACAAGCCAAGTGATTATTTTGAAGCTCCGACTTCCATACCTAAAAGAAAACAAAATTAATAGCTCATGTGAACATCCAAGAAAAGGAAAACATTCAATTTGGTGAGTACATAAAGCGCTATAATTTTCTGCAACCAGCTCGTCCCTTTCATCTTGCATTTAAAACTGTAATTACCATTGCCAGCAGAACATGGAGAAGGCAGCAGAAGGAGAAAACAAAGTATGGAGAGAAAGTGGGAAGGTAAATGATGTGAGAGCACCAAGAAAAGACAATTTGTCTGTGTTCCTCTGCCTGGGCTCTCTCCCCACTACTACCTCTGGGTATTTATAACCCTGTGCTGGGCACGATGGTAAAAGAATGAGCACAAATGTCCTTTGCTAAAGACCCTGGATTAAAAATAGAGGGATGATCACGGTCTTTGAAGGAAATTTTGAGGCACATCTAAATAGCATCCCTGCATCCCTACGGCCGCTGCAATCTGGGGTTTTTTCCCAGCCACTCCAAGCATTATTTCTGGAAATCAAGAGTCCTTGGGCACATAGTGCTTTCACTGTGAGTGACTTCAAGCTGGAAAATGTGATTCATTGGAGCTAAAATGTAATTTTCAGAATAGTCATCTCTCTCAGCTTATCTTCTGGGGGAAAGAGACATCTTGGAGTGCCAGCGGGTGAAAGGGCTGGGACCTGCTGCGCTGTATGGAGAGTGTTTTATTACTTTCACATTTCTTATTTTAACTTCATTGTCTGACACAGCCATTACCTTTTCAAGGACAAAGTTTTTAAAAGTATTGGGAGTCTTGCACCTGGAGAACACTGAGCCTGCCGTAATGTCAGCCATAAATGTGCCTAATGCAGCTCTGGCTGTCCTGCTGAGCCTCGGAAATGGCACGGCTGGGCTCCTTCTGGCCCCATGCTTTGGCTCAACTTCTGCTTCTTCAACTTCTTTGCTGCAGTTTCAGACCTGGTGTCTTTATTCCCGCAGCAAAGGGTACAAAACTCGTCATGATTTACGGGCGCTGCCCCCGCTTTAATAATGGGGACTGTCAGGGCTGGGCAGGGGCACAGCTCGCTGCCCTGGGATGGCTCTGGGCTGCCCAGGGATGGCTCTGGGCTGCCCAGGGATGGCTCTGGGCTGCCCAGGGATGGCTCTGGGCTGCCCAGGGATGGCCACAGGGCTGCCCAGGGGTGGCTCTGGGCTGCCCAGGGATGGCCACAGGGGAGCTGGGTTTGGACCAGAAGGACCGAGAGAGCAGGGCCAGGCTGTGGCAGCAGGGGAAGGGGCTCCGGGAGAGGTCCCGGCTCTGGACCGGCAGGGCAGGGCTGCTCTCCTCGGGCAGGAAAAGCCCTGAGCCGGGGCTGTCCCCGCTCCCCGATAGCCATCAGCGATGTCTGCCTGCCGAGCATCCTCCTCCTCCTCCTCCTCCTCCCGCTGCTGCCGGCGGCTGTGCTGTAACCACGGAGCACTCGGGGCTCCTCTCTTATCATCTGCTGCTCTCGGCCTGACTCATTGCAGGATTATGTAGGCTTTTTATTCACCCTGCTATTACTGGAAAGTTCTTTCTTCAGAGGCTTGGAATATAAAGCTGAGAATACTCTGATTGTAAACTGCCTCAGACAAGGCAGAGCTGCTGTAAAAGCAGGGCCCGTCTGTGCTACAGTAATTCCACAACTGCAGCAGCAGCAGTGAGCACTGAACTCCTTCCTGCTCCCGTGTCAGTGCTCTTGCTACTGCCAAAACTGAGATTCTCATCACACAGGAGTCGGGAGGCTGCCTTCTCCCCACATTTAATTCTTTTCCAGTTGAAAAACAGTATTTTAATGTGCTACTGCTGGGAGGTTTGGGTACTTTCTCCAAGATTATGACAATCCGAGAATTTCGAGGATGTGGGTGGTTATAAACTCTCCCTTGAAATGTGCCATAAAGCAGCAAAGGAAGCCAGAATTCACATTATTTCCTTGTTACACCCTCCAGGAGCTGTCATCCAAGGGGTATGTGGCTGTTGAATTAAAATTTAGCTGAAGAGATTTCAGCGGTGCTGGGGGTTTCTTTTTGTGGCTTTTACACTGATTTCTCTCTTCTACCCCTGTTGTGTTCCTGAGTTTTCCATCATTAGCTGGCTGCACCCTCCTCTTTAGGGATCCAGCTCCAAATGGGACATTTTTCTTTTAAAAGGATTTCCCTGAGGAGCAGGTTTCTCTCTCAGGATTTCCAGTCTGTAGCTTTAATGTCTAGAGTGTTTTCCTTCTCCCTGCGAGCTCCTGGCAAAGTGAGGAGCTTTCAAACACAAATATTTATGGACGAGGCAGTGTTTGGATTAGGGAATGAAGAGTCTGGATCAGCTGCTTTGCTTATCTGGTTCAGAGAAAGGCTCTGAGGAGCCCTGAGTGTGCTGAGACACTGTCCCACTTTGATTTCTTCAAGAGCAGCCCAGAGCAAGAGAGGCTCATATTTCAGGAAGAATTTCTTCATGGCAGGGAATATCAGGCATTGGAGGAGCTGCCCAGGGAGGGTTGGATCCCCATCCCTGGAGGTGATGAGGAATTGCTGGAGGTGGCACTGAGTGCTCTGGGCTGGGGACAGGGTGGACTCGAAGGGCTGGAGGGCTTTTCCAGCCTCAGGGATCCCAGGCTTCTGTGATTTTGCAGCTTCCTGCAGAGATGCAGCACTTGGCACCATTTCCCAGCTCCTTGGCAACGTGGCCCTGCCTGGGAGGAAAGGTTGTTAATACAGAGACTCCTGAAAGGGAGTGATGGATTTGGGAGCTCCTGGGTGCCAGGAGCGGTGCTGGGCTCCAGCAGGTGCCCGTGGGGCTGGGGCACAGCAGGACACTGGGCAGGGAAATGGTCCTTGGCCCCGTGTCCCAGCAGAGCCCAGCCAAGAGCCTCTGCGCTTTAGGAAGTGATTGATGTTTTTTCCCTGGGTAAACAAAGAACCCGAGCAGGCTCTGCCAGGCCGGCACCTTTCAGGCACAGTTAAATTAATTTTTAGAAAAATAATAAAAATAATGGCCCAGCCTAATGAACGCCTGAGGAATTCTATAAAAGGCCTTGTGACACCTGCATTAATACCAAATGAGTTCATTATGATTAATGTTATTAAAATAAATGTCATGGCCATGAATAATGGCCTGGCCATTATTTTAAAGTGTTGCCACTGGATCTATAAAAGCTCATGAGTCAACCCTGGGGAAGGAACTCTGCACGTTCATAAAACCTGCGGGGAATTCAAACTTTTCTGCAAAAATAGCCCCAAAACTGACATGGGAGGTTGTGTGAGTGTTCTGAAGGACAGACTGTGCCCTGGCTCGGGCAGGGCTGATTTCCCTGTGGCTCAGAGGTGGGATGGGAGCATTTCTGACCCAGGAATTTCTTGGTGCTTGAGGATGATTCCAGAATTGTTTGTGCTGGTTTGTGTTCAGGCTTTTATTAGGCCAGATTTTTTTTTATTATTTTTTTTTTTTTTTTTATTTTATTTTTTTTAATTCTGCTGCTTTTAGAGGGGGATTTGTCTTCTTGGCTTTCAAAGCTCAGCACAACAGTTTTACAAACAACACAACCTCATCCTTACAAAAAAGGTTAAAAATGAAAACATTTATATTAGTAACAGATAAATGTAACTATTTTCAGTGGCTTTTACCTATGCAAATCTTTTCAGCAACTTGGGAAGCCTTAGGAGAGATGTTCTTTAGAATATTGATTAAAATCTCAGCTGAAATAAAATATTTAGCAAAAAGATATTTCCCTACTCTTCAATTGCTCCTTAATTAATCATCTTTGTTAACAGGCTAGAGGACATCCTGCTTCATTTTTCCTTTTTGGCTTAGGATAATGTATGTAAATTAATTTTGGGTTGTATAATCCAATCATAAAAAAAACCCCAAACAACCTTGCTGCCACTGATAGTGTGTTGTCAGTAGGAAAAAAGGGAACAGTGCTGGTCCTGGTGGTGGGGACAATGACAGGCAGTGTGGTGGCACTGAGCTGGGACAGAGGGGCCATAAATTGTCCAATAAAACTAATGGGAACCTGAGGAAAGAGAGTGATTGATTGATTGATTGATTGATTGATTGATATCTGACTCCAGGTATTGCCAAAGCAGCTCAGTGAAGTTTCTGAGGTGTGTTTTGCCAAGGAGTTAAAATCACCAGGGGTGTAAGGGCTGTAATGGGGGAAAGCTGTGTAATTTCTATAATTATTTTTGAAGCAATGCATGTGCCCGCTCACAGAACTATTTTAGCTGCGGTGACGTAAGGTCCAATTAACAGAATGACATTGGGGAAGAGGTGTAAATCTGCAGGGTTCACATTTTATTGCTGCTGGGAAGGTGCTGCAGGGCCAGAGGAACGGCTGGGCTGAGCAGAGCTGGGATTTGGGCTTTGTTCCACTGCAGGACCTCAAGGAGGACGTGCTGGGGCTGAGCTGACAATTGGAGCTGATGATCTTGAAGGCCATTTCCAACCTTACCAATTCTGGGATTCTGTCTCAGGGCTCCACAAGATCATTTCACAGAAATTCCAGCTCAGGGGTGCCCAAGACCTGCAGAGGCTGGGAGTAGGAAAACCAGGAAAGGATGAGGATGGAGCCCAACATCATTCTAACATCCAAACACACGTGTGCACTTTGTTGTTGCTAGGGCCTCAAACCTCTTAATTTCTGAGGAGGTGTTTAATTTATTTTCCCTTTAAATGAAAGCTGTAATAGGAATGACTCACACAGCCCTGTTTACCACGAGGGTTTTGCTCCTGGGCCGTGTTTCTGTGGATGTCTCAGCCGTTACCGGCGGCTGGGGGATGCTGTTACTGCTGTTTGGGGGCAAGATGCTGCTAAGGGAGCCTGAGAAAACCAATTGATTTTGGGTTTGCAAACCACAGAAAGAAGTCCCACACGTTGCTGCGACTGATAGTGTGTGCAGGAGCAGCTGAGCCCCAGAGGCTGGGGAAGTGAGGCTGGAGATGCAGTGATATGTTGTAAATGGGTGCAGACGCGCTGGTGGTTGCCAGATCTGAGTCACAGTTTCTTTCCCCCTGATTTCTTGACTCTGCAGAAAGATTAAACACAGCTCAAGGATGTGGCAACCCCCCCCATATCTTCCTGTTCTGGGTGTCCTCGTGCTCCAGCAGGGAGGGCTGGGGCTGTGCAGATGCAGCCAGCTGTGTGCGTGCCGTGCCCCCGGCCCCGCGCTGGGAACCGGGGCAGGGACAACAGAAGGAACAAATATTCACGTTTCTGGGGCAATGCCAAAACTAGAGGTTGATAATTTAATCTGCTGGCTCACAGCTTGAGAGTCTACACAAACATCCCCCTTTCTTCCACACAGGATGGATCACGCTGCCATGGGTGCTGGGAGAGCCCAAGGAATAAATGGGCTCCCTGCAGTTATTAAATGTGATGGTTGGCATTCAAATCCAGGTCAAATATCTCATTCCTCAGCTTCAGCATTGTAATAAATATCTCCAGTTATTTCTGATTTATGCAGCTGTCACAAACACTCCTGGAAACATACAGAAGTCACACTGAGACCTTTGGGGAAAGCCACAGAGATTTCTTCAAGCTGGAGCTTTCTGATGGAACACCAGGTCCCTTTTATGTGCCTGCTCAGGGAGCCGTTTGTCACCTGTCAGCAGAACTGCTGCGGTGGTGCCACCTGTGGCAGTCAGAGCTGGCAGGGCTGTTAGCAGGGGTGACAGCCTGGGGACCCTGCAGTGTCCCTGGGCTGCAGTGCCACGGGCTCCATGAGGAAAGGGCTCCTTTCACTCCAAGCACGGCAGGGGCAGAGCTGCACCTTCCAACAGGGCCGAGCTCCAGCCCTGTGTCCTCTGCTGGAATCAGAGCTTGGCATGAGCAAACAAAGTTCTCCAGGCACGGCCTCTTTCCTGCCTTAAACCAGGGTATAAAATCTGGTGCTGCTTTTGTGCATTCAGCACTGCCTGCCTGCCCTTACATGGGTTTCTTTACAATTTCTGGTCACGCAAGGAGCTGCATCATTTACAGGCAGGATTCGCAGGAATGCGGCTCTGCTGCTGCCGAGCAGCTGGAGGACACCCTTAAATAAAACAGAATCCTCCCCACAAGCTGTTTCATGTTATCATGAGGGCTGGGAGATGGAGAGAAATCCTTCCTGACCTCCGTGACCCTTCTGGCAAGCAATGACAGGTCCCTGCCGGGCCTGGACCCAGGTTCTTTTAACATTCTGGAACTTCGGGAGCATCCCTCCCTCCTGGTGCACGTGACTGAGTACAAAGGGAATTTAATCTGCCCTCAGCTCCATCTCCAGGGTCTGACTTTCATCTTCTCTTCACAGGCTGTTCCTGCAGCCTCCCTGCAGAAGGCAGAGAGCTCTGCACACCCAAACTGCTCCCAAAGTCACCCCAAAACCAGCAGCCAAGCCTGGCTGAGGCTGGCAGAGCTCTGGAGCTGTGGCACACCATGGCACAAATTCCCAGCTGCGCACACAGCCGTGGGATTTCTGCTTGGGAGGGCTCTGGGTGTTGAACAGGGACACTCCGTGCTGCAACCCCCCAACTTCCAGGTGTTCTTAACCAGGAAAGGGCTTTTTTCATGGCTCAGGAGAATGGCCTGCCTGTGCCAGCCCTGCTTTTAGGCAGCTCTGGGTTGTTGGTGAGCCCAAGGACCCCCCATCACCTCGGGTTCCTTCAGTCCCAGCCTGTGCACACCGGAGGGAGGTGCTGGAGTACGCTGACAATAACACCTGGGGAGGTTTTTGGTTGCTCCAGTCCCAATGTGTCCTCCTGATTCCTCACTGCTGGCTTTAGTCTGGACCTGTAGGGAACAAAGCCATTTCCTCTGCAGTCTGTGAAGCCTGGGCAGGACACAGAGCACCGTCCCTGGGGTCTCTTCATTTGCTTAGAGCTACTTTAAGGTGATTTTTTTAGAGGCAGTTTTGGGATTTTATTTCCCTTTTCAGGGCCCCCAAACTGGATGTGCCTAACCAGTTATTGAATGTTTAAAGGGTGCACAAGGACATTTTACCAGGGCCAGAATGAGAGGAGGCATTAACAAATCCATCACTCAATGTTCTCCAAACTGTTAAACTATGGAAGCAGCTCTGCACGGGTTCAGCTCTCAGCTCCTGACAGGAGATAATGAAGGAATCACTGAGCTCCAGGTGGAGATTGAGGAAGGGGAACTTTCTGCTGTAAGAGCTGGGAGTTAAAGATAAGCAAAGCAAACTTTGAAATTAAGGTATCCAAGCAGAATTAGGGCAAAACCAGAGTGAAAAAAGGCTCCCACTCCCACAGCATGTGCAGGTTTGGGGCTGATTTGACTAAACTGAGTTGAACAGGCTCTTTCAGACTCGGTAATTGAACACAGGCTGCTGCTCGTGCTTGGTACAGATCCTGCCCAGAGCTCGGTAGGATGAGGATGCAGGGAAGGGTGTGGAATGAATCCCTGTGTGTGTTGCACATGGATAACCAGAAAACAAGCAGGACTGGGAGCAGCAGGGCTGGGAGGGCACTGAAGCAGCACCTGCTCATCCCACTGCTCCTCCCTGTGCCAGAGCCAGCTCCTGCCTGGGGCTGCTCCAGATTCCCTCCTCGAGGCAGGCTGGCAATAGAGACACCAGCATGGGGCTTGCCCAGTGCTCTGAGCGTGGAGCAGCTTCTCCAGCCCCCCTTCCTAAAACATTTCTGCTTCCAGGGAAGCCAGTGACCTTCCTCAGGCCTGATCTTTACCAAATTCAGTCAAGGATGGACGGCAAGTGTTTTGCTGCTTGCAAACCCTTTCCCACACCTCTCCTTTTAGCTCTGCAGGGCTCTTAATGAAGTGTCATAGCAAAGTTGAAGCTTTTTGGAGAAGGTTTGGAGGTTCTGCCGCCAGCACAGAGCGCAGTGTGAGCTCTGGGATCACATCTCAGAGGTGATCCAGCAGCTGGGGCACAGCGAGCTCTGCTCCCCCTCAGTACAGCTGCAGGGCTGGAGCTGGGCCAGGGGAGGGTTGGGTTGGATTTTGGGAAAGGTTCTTCCCCCAGAGGGTGCTGGCACTGCCCAGGCTCCCCAGGGAATGGTCCCAGCCCCGAGGCTGCCAGAGCTCCAGGAGAGCTTGGACAGCGCTCCAGGGATGGAGCTGGGGTTGTTGGGGGTCTGAGCAGGGCAGGGGTGGCACTGGAGGATCCTGGGGGTCCCTGTGATCCCCGAGCCCCACGGCTGAGCAGGGGCACAGCCCGGGAGTGCTGGGACAGCCCCGCAGCTGCCACGGCCCCGCTGTGGTTTGGCCGCTGCTGGGCTGTCTAGACAAGCCTTGGAGAGAGCCATGTTCTGGTTCCTATTTGATTATGAGACAGGCTTTTTCATCTCTAATGTAAACATGCCCGAATAACAGAACTCTGCTGTGGCATTTCTTGTACAAAAGCCCCTTTTTTGGAAGGAGCGATTCGATTAATGCATTTCCATTCCCCACTACGGATATAATTTCATCTTTCCCATTTAGGCATTAGGTTTCCTGAAAAAAAAAAGGGTGAGGTGAAAATGCTGAGCCCCTCAGAAAGTGCTCGTATTTAGCAAAGAGCTGCAGCTGTGCAAATACGAGGCTTTGCTTGGAACAAGTGAACTGAAATCCACCTGGTGCCACCGCTGGCTCTGGGCTGTGCCCGTGGGGAGGGGACAGGGCAGCAGCACAAGCCCTGCAGGGTGGCACAGCTGCCTGGCACGAGGGCAGCACTGGGCACTGAGCACACAGAGTGCCTCCCTGGGCTGGGGACAGAGCCTGCCACGGAGCCAAGCTCTGCCCAAGGCCTGGCACGGAGCAGCTGGGGCTGCCCTGGATCCCTGGCAGTGCCCCAGGCCAGGCTGGACAGGGCTGGGAGCAGCCTGGGACAGTGGGAGGTGTCCCTGCCATGGCAGCGGTGGCAGTAGAGGAAGTTTCAGGTTTTTTCCAACCCAAACTATGCCCTGATTGTGTGGAACAGGACAAGTGAGCAGCACATCAGCACAGGACCCTGTGTGCCCTGGGGACGGGCTCTGAGCGCTCCCAGGCTGGCAGCCAGGGCAGGGACAGGGGAGCAGAGCCCTGGATAAACCCTCAGCTTCTCTCCACAGGGGAGCAGAGCCCTGGATAAACCCTCAGCTTCTCCCCACAAAGGGTTTGAAATGGGGTAACTGGGCTGCACCACTGGGAGCTAAAGGAATGAAAGATTTTTCATTTTGAAATGGGCTCTTCGCCAAGCATTCCAGTTTGGGGAAAATCTGCTCTCTGCAGTTTTTCTGAAGACTTTCTCTGCTCTTCTGTTGCCCATCCTGCTTGTGTTTATGAAACTTGAATGGTGTTGAATTTCATGTGTTATTGAATAGCTGTGAGCGTGTCTTGGCTCTAAGTGAACATATGGTGAAAACCAAGATCAGTCAAGGAAAACACAGGAATTCTCCATTCCTCAGGAGGGAATAGCCCTCACCTTGCTGTTTCTGGGAGAATGGGAGATCTCCAGGGTCTCCCAGCACCATCCTGGCTCTAGAAAGGATCAGCTCTACAGTACATCCCACACTTCAGTGAGCTTCCCTTTGTTCAGCCAATCTAGAATACCAAAAGAATTCTGTGAGAGAGTGCAAATCCAAACATAAAGACTTTTGTTACACAAGAAAGAGAAATTAAGGTTACAAAAGATCAGAATTAAACTTTTAAAAGGTCTGTGGTATCACTGCAGGACAAGGAGCTGTTTGTCAGCTTCCTCACTCACAACGCAGAAATTGGTTTGAGGATTGAAACTCAGCACAACAGCAAAACTGCTGCAGGTGCTGTTCATAAAAGCAAAATTTAGTTACAGAGTTATTGGATCTTATCTGAAAGGGCTTTTACAATATTTGTTACCCAGCCTCACCTTCCACTGTCCCAGGCTGCTCCAAGCCCTGCCCAGCCTGCCTGGGGCACTGCCAGGGATTCAGGGGCAGCTGCTCTGCCAAGGCCAGTTTAGCTATTCCTGACCACCCACAAGAAAGGATCAATAATAATAAAAATAATAAATACACATATAAAATAAAATAATAATAATAATAATAGTAGTAGTAGTGCAAAGCACTTCTCATCAGCAGGGCAGGAAATGGAGCTGTGTTCTGTCAACAGCAGCGATGCTCTGTGTGAGGAAATATCTCCCCAAGTGCCCTTGGGGTCTGAGTTTAATCCCTGTATTTGTATCAGGTTTAATAAGGAGATTTATATTGGACACCAAATGTTAAAATTACCTAAACTTGAAAGGCCTGCCTATGAAATGAGTTGGAATAGATTCTCTGTGGAAGTTACTGCAGTGCCAATAAGGATTAATTAAAACTCAAATGTTCTTCATTGTGTGTTAATTGAGGAATTGTTATTCAGTCAACCTTCTTGATTTTTCTCTGTGTTAAATAATCATGGCAGTATTTCACCTAGTCTCACTGTTTATTTAACCAATTAATTAAGGGAGAGGATATTCTGCATTTATTAGTATTTTAATTGGAGAATTTTATTCCCGGTGGCCTAAACATCTACATATGTTCAGGTTTGGTGTTTAGTTTTTTTCTCTTTTAAATGACCAGTGTTCCTGGTTGTACACACTACAGACTGGAGAAAAAAAAGCTTTCAAGTGCTCTGCACAATTGAACTTCATTAGAGCTGGAAAACCAGGGGCCAGGTTTCCATCTCAGCTGTGCTCATGTCAGACAAAGTAATTCCCCACTAAATAATGGATTTGCTTTGAGTTGGTGCTGGTATCGAGATGAGAGTTTGGCCTCTGTCACTTAAATAATTACAGTGCACGTTGTGTGATGCTGTTTAACAGTTCAAAGCATTTTATTTAATGATTATTAATTTATAAAAGGTCACTTTATAATGTATTCACAGCTTAGTTGGGGCCACAAAATTCAAAGCTCCATAGAGAGCCCTCTCGTAGGCAGAGTGTGAGAGAATCCTCACCTTAGAAGGACAAAATTGCCAGGTTTGTGAGGGTTTTTTCCTGTGTCACCACTTGTCCCAGGCCAGCCCTGGCAGGGGTGGCACTGGCTGGGCTTTGAGGTCTTTCCAACCCAAACCATCCTGGCATTCTGTGGTGTTACTAAAAAAATCCCAGCTTGTGGGGTCCTGCAGAATCACAGACATTTGCAAATCTGAAACAAATCCAAGCTACTTCAACATTTTTCTCTCCTTCCCTTCCCTGCCTTCTGCTGGGAACCAGAAGGCAGCAAACACCAGCCCAGGGTTTGTGCTGACACTCTTTATTCTTTGTGCTCTTTTTCCAATTTCCAACTGCACTCACACTACATATACATTTTTCCTCCTGACTTCACCAAGCCTTTTTATTTCACAGGGGAGGTCAAGGTAGAGATATTCCAAATAAAGTAAGACCTTATCTTGCACAGAATAATATGAAAAACATGAAAGCACGTCCAGTATCTCTTTGTTTCTCCACACCAGTGTTGAGTGATTTATAGCCACTATTCTTATTTCCCTGACATGTAAAGTAGCTTTAGATTAAAAATTTGGCAAAAGAAATGTATTTTTTTCTGTAAAATTAAAGATTGATGTAAATTTTTTTAAAGCCCATGTTCCAATCATAGTTCCTGATTTACCAGTTAGGATGCAGTTCCATTAAAAATACGAGCCACCCATCAGTAAGGGAAGCCCTGGAGTGAGCACTCTGCTCCCACTGCTTTTACTGGCTTGGGAATACTTGCTTGAAGCCAGCTCACTGTGATAAAGTACAAAGTCAGATCAGGCACTGCCCTGCTGGCATTCCCAGGTGAGTGGATGTCACTGGCACTGGAATTTCTCACTCCCCTGGTGGCAGGGCAGCCTTTCCAAGCCGTGTCTCAGCTGAGTCTCTGTGGGGAGTTTGTCCTTCTCACCCTTGGCTGATGATTTCCTCAGAGCCTGCCTGCCACTCTGCAGTGTGTTAAATGTCCTGCAAATAACCCCAAGGGTGATGCATTAAACACCCAGAGGAGGAGAAGGGCTCCTGCCAGGCAGGGAAAGCCAAAGGGGTTGGGAAAGAGCTGGTGACAGAAGATTGAGCAGAGGAGGAGCAGAGAACAGTTCATGACAAGATGTGGGAGGACTTTGCTCTGCTCTGCTGTTCATGGCACCGTGGGGAGTTGTAAGGGCCTGAGCTGACACTGAGTCCTGGCAAAGAACCAGAACTGAACATTAAGGTGAATCAGAATTTGAGTTTTTAAAAGAAAAGGAAAAAATAAATCCTGCTTTATCCATCTCCCAGTGCCCATCCATCCAGATCTGCTCCTTGGAGACCACTCTCATTGCCTGGGTAATGGCTTTCCCTAAAAAACCCTCTTCCATGGAAACACTGTCAAAACAAGGACAAGTTTTGGGTCCATCAACCTTGACAATGTCCTCTGACATTATTAGCTGAATTCATCAGCTATTAATGACAGCAAGATGTAGAGGATATACTCAGGTTAGCACTGGGGAAGACTTTCAATTCACTCCCAGCTCTATTTATTCATTTAGGCTAAATGCAGTTATTAAAGGTCATGACTTCATTTCCAAAGTATCAGGTGAAAATACTTCCCAACGTGACAAATAGAGGACACCATCTGCAATAAAAATGAAGCATTATCTTCAACAACTTCTTTGATCTTAAAAGCTATTTCCTCAAAGTTTTACTTTTATGAACTCGGTCCAGGTGGGCCCTGGAGAAGTGAATTATGGTGCTCAGTGCTCAAAGGAGAGGGGTGGATGCCAATAATGAATTCAGGGACTTTGGGTTTTCAGCAAGTGGCAGCAAGATTTCCTCAGCACGGAATGACACAGAAAAGCTGGAATACAACAACCCCCATGTGCAGAGGGCTTTCACAGGAGAGGCTGTGGTTTCATTTTGTGGTTTGAGATTTACCTGTGAAACATCACTGAGTCACTGAGGAAAAAGTCACCTCTGTCCTTCAGTTCCTTCAGGAGATCTGCCCTCGATGCCTTTTACCTGTGTCCCTCCCAAGTGCTTTGGAGAAGGGCACTGCAATACAAGCTACAGACGCTGCGATGCTGAAGTTTGATTCAACCTTTTTCCCCCCAGCAGGAGCCTGGGAAGCCATCTGCAGCACTGACTTCTGCCAGAGCAGGGGTCACCTTTCCCTGGCCTGAGCTGAGCTGCTGGCACCTGGATGGATCCCTAAATCCAGCCAGAGTGGTGCTGGGGTGAAGATCCCAGCCTGCCTGCCATGGCACAGGAGCGTCCTGGCTGGATTTGGCTGCCAGCCTTCTCCAGGAGCTCCCAAAAAGAGATGGAGCAAGAACAGAGGGGTTCATGTGTTGGCCTGGCCCAGGGGAGGATGACCTTCCTAGGTGGAAATGAACGTCTGTGCCCAGGAGGAGATGGAACAGCTGCAGCAGGATCCTGGCAGGTCTGAGCTCATGGCACCCGGGATTTTACGGGATCCCTGAGGGGTGACAGATGATGTGTCTCCAGGTGTAGTCAGACATTCATGTGGGATTCACCTTAATCCTCCTTTCTGTGCTGAAAAGTGGATGATGAGAACAGAAAATGCTCCTGAGTCACAACTGGGTGAGGGGCACACCTTGGAGAGCTGGGTGAGCAGCCCAGGTGGGCAGAACCAGCATTCCGAGGTGCCCATGTGCTGCACTGCTCACAGGCTGCCAAGGGCATCACCTGGATAAATACCCTGCTAACCTGACACAGCCCAGCCCGCAGGATCCCCCCTCTGCTGCCCCTGAAAGTTCAAAAAGTTCCCTGGATAATTTTGCTTGGGTTGTATGAGAAAACTTTGGGTCCCCCAAAGGGAATGTGGGAGAATTCTGGTTCAAGTTAAAGTAAAGCAGATTGGTGCAGATTGGACTGCTCTCGGAGCTGCAAAGCTAAAGTTTCTGTGCAAAACTGCTCTGAGAACATCCAGGCATGTGGGCAAAGGCAGATGTTGTGTGTGCTGCATCAGATCGGGATGAAAGGGTGCTTTAGACAGAAAATAGGTCTGAGATGAGCAGAATGCCAAAATAACACAAAGGCCCCTTTGTGAGCCTTTATCCAACAGTCTGGGGCTCTGTGCACTTTCGTTGTGTTAGAGCTGTGTATTTAGTTCTCCAAACACTGTAATACAGAAATCAAGCTGTAATCAACCAGATCATCTTCCTGTAGCTGCTATTCCCCACGGGGTGTCCTTACAGGTATTGAAGCGAGGAATCAATTAGGGAAGGAGGCTGAGGTCTCGGACCGTGTCTGGGCACCACGGGCACAATGATGGCAAACAAAACCTCTTTCCTCCAGGGTGCAGTGCAAGGATGTTACAAACAGCATGAGGTGGTGTAAACCCTCATGTACGAGTTAGAAGTGCTGGTCAGAGGTGGTGGCTCAGAGCAGGACAGCCCAGCACAGAGGCTGGGCCATGCACAACATTTCTCTCTGTTTGTTTGCTGTGTGGCTTGGCTCAGGGGCCGGGCAGGTTTCCCTCGCTCTGCTTCTCTGCTTGCCGAGGGCTGTGCAGACAGAGATTGCAGATCTCTTCCCTGCTGCTCTGGCTGCTGGACAGCGATGGTCTGCTGAGTCCCAGCTCACCCTGGCAATTTAGAATGGAAATTGCAGCTTCCAGCTGGGGCCCGGAGAGCAGCAAGATAATGAGAGGCACTACAGAAGAAGTGGGGCTGCGTTCCCCCCTCCCTGCCGTGCTGCAGCAGGGGGCTGCCCCAAAGCCATCCTTCAGGCTGGCTTAGCGTTGGCAATGCCTGGATTTCATAATGTTCTCCATTTTCCTTTGGAGGTGACAAAGCCACTTTTAATCCCAGGGGTCCTGGTTTTGCTGGAAGCAGCTGCAGCACAGTGAGAAATGCTGTGCCTGCTGCTCTGCAGATCCATCACAGAGCCAGAGCCCAGGCCGTGGAGCTGGGAGGGTGGCCACAGTCCTTCCTCTGCAGAGACCCTGGAGGGATCCTGCAGCCCTGCTCCAGGTGGCTGAAGCTGCCTGTGGGCTCAGGAGAGGGGCCAGGGCTGATGGAAAGCCGGGAGCAGGAGGAGCTCCAGGCCGTGGCTGACCAAGGGCTACAGCAACGACTCGTGTTCAAATGGGATCACTTCTCTCTGGGAATGAGGGAATGATGGAGGAGCAGAACAACCACCAGCAGCTCACAGGGCTTGGGAGTCACCATGTTCCACCATCCCCCCTGAAAGGAGATGCCTGGCACGGGCTGCTGGGGGCTTCACCCTCCCTGTGGGATGTAGCTTCTCCCTCGGGGATGTAGCCTCCCCTTCAGGAATGCAGTTTCTCCCTTGGGGATGTGCTCTCTCCCATTTAGTTCCTCCCTTTGGGATGTTCTCTCTCCCTTTGGGGTTTACTCTCTCCCTTCAGGATACAGCTTTTTGAAAAAGAAGACCATAAATTGAGTTTTGAGTTGCAGCCTTGAGTTTCTCTAGGCTACACCAAACCCATGCAAATCATTTACAGATTTTTCTCCAGCCAGTGGGGTGCTAGAGATGCTCTGTATTTCCTGTGTGCAGGTACCCAAATCACAACAATATTTTCATTGGGCAAAGCTGGTGAAAACCAAAAGCCTTACAAGGGTGTCCTGCTAACAATGTCATGCCCAGTGCTGACAAAACCAAGCTCCCTCTGTTAGGAATGGTAAGTTTAAGTCCAGTAATGTCCAGATGTTTACCTGAAAATAAAGATGTAAGTGAAAAGAGAGGAGTAATGAATATGTGAGGGGGAGGTTGATAATTTCTCTGGCACAGTAGGCAATAACATGTAAGGAAAAATGTGTTGAAAGGAAAATCCAGGATAATTGATCTTTACCACAAGAAAAAAAAAGTATCCATTTCTAGAGACAACCCCAAAGGTTCAGGCTAAGTTTGGCATTTTGAGATTTTTTTGTTCTGTGTGAGACTTTGAGGAAAAGCTATTGCAAAGGTGGTGGTGGCATTAATCCACCCACTGCTCGGAGGTCAAAATACTTCATCAGATTAAGGGATTACAGACTTCCAGAAGATTGGTTAAGATCATGTCAATGTTTTAGTGATTAGATTTTGTTTCAGTGATTGCTAAAAGGAACCAGAGGTGCTTGTGCTCCTGCACAGGGCAGGACCCAGCCCAGGGGCTGCGGAACCACACAAAACCCACCTTGGGGTGTTCCGTCTGTCCCTCGGAGCCATGGATCCTCAGGAACAGTGTGGGAAACGCTGTGGAGCTGGCAGGGATGGGGCACAGCTGGGACCCCTCTGGGACCCCTTCCAGGAGCCCTTCCCAGCAAAGGCAGGGTGGGATGGGATAAACCCCAGAGACAGGGGAGAGCCCCGGGGGGCTGACTTCTCATTTGGGGATTGCACTCTAATTCCTGCTTTCACATTCGGCCACGTAGTCCCTAATTAAAGTAAATAAGTGCATGAAAGACACGTTGAAAAGTCTCTGTCTGGCTGCCAAGGGGACGTGTGAGATTACGGGCAGCGTGTGAGCGCACTTGGAGGGGAGTTTCCCCATCAGTTGTGATTTCAGTGTGCTTCCCTGTGAACCAACTGGTTTGTGCAGCTCAGAAAGGAAATATCCAGAGAGAGCCGTGTGGGAAAATCCCCCAGCAGTGCCGCACGCTGTGCCCCTGTGTCCCTGCTGGCAGCCCGGCTGCAGACACCGGCCTTTGCTCTGTGTTCTGTAGTAAAAATACACTTGAAAAGATTTGGGGGGTTTAGGAATGCTAAGAGGGGCAGCCAGGCCTGGTGTGAGGGACAGAGCACCGTGTGACGAGGCACAGGTGTCTGTGGAGAGCTGGGCCCGTTCCTCAAGGAGCCCAGAGGGCCCTGCCTCGGAAACCAGCAGGCCTGAGGCCCCTCAGTGCTGGGAGCACTGGGGTGACCACGGGCCAGATGGGCCAGCAGTGAGCAGCTCCTCGCTTTCCATCCTTGCAAATCCTCACAGCATCTCTAGAGGAACTGTGCAAACTGGCTGGCTTTGCCTGAACAAATGAAAAGGTCTTGGAGCAAGAGAGAGAGCACTTGCTGCTGCAGGGAGCTGAGGCTGGTGGAACAGCCCAGCAGAGCTCCCCCACTGCCGGTGCTGTCCCTGTGGGCCTGTCCCACCCAGCACTGGACCCAGCACAGAGTCCTGGTCACCATCTCTGACCCCTCACAAACCTGGGGGCAGCGACAGGGCCGGGCCTGGAGGAGGCCCTGCACTCCCCATGGGAGCTGAACTGGGATGGAAAGCTCAGTGACTCATACAGAGGGTATAACCTGAGACCTGGCAGGAGGGATGCTGAAAGGATGGAAACTAGGATGCTATGGGACCACCCCACAACAGGCCATGTTCCCGGTTCTGGCTCTCAGTGGGCTCGGGACATGTCACATACAAGTCATGTCCCCTGTCCTCAGGTTCCCCTATATATCATTAAGTTCTCCAGGCCCCTTGCTCTTTGGAGCTTGCCCCCAGGACATGTGGTTTCAGCGGTTTGTTATTTTATCATCATTAAAGCTTTTCAGGCAGCTCCATCGTTCCTGTCCCTCTGTTTTGCCACACCTGGCCAGATGGGACCCAGAGCCACAGCGAGCTGACCGCCACTCCACACTGCCAGGGCTCCTTCAGGTCCCACAGCCACCTGATTCAATGGCCACCTTCTGCTTTAGTCACTCCATTCATTCCCATCCAATGTGGAATGAAAGCAGGGGCAGCTCTCGGGCTGCAGATGATGCTGCACACTGTCCACGGTGGAGAATCGCTGGTTTAGTGTGCAGCCAAGCCACGCTCAGGGAAAAAACGTGGTTCAGAAGCAGGAGAAACCAGGCACAGTTTTAGCTTCAAATCTTGGGAAACTCAACGTTTGCCTGCCTTAAACTGTGTCAGAGTGGGAGTCTGCATTGCTGACATCCCTGTAAGCATTACTTGGCATTTAAATTTAGGCTTTCGTCCGTGGGCGATGCTGAAGACGCCGAGCGAGCGTCTGCCAGAGCAGAGGCATCGCCCTGCCCATGACCCCCTGGCAGCCTGGGGCTGCAGCAGAGCTCCTGCAGGCCTCCCTTCTCAGCCCCAAGCAGTGCTGCTGGCCCGGGGACTCCAGCCTGGAGCAGCTGCTGGGAACAGCTGGAACGTGGGAAACACCACGCTGAGCTCCAGGGTGGCTCCAGCCCAAACCCTCCCTGCCCCGGGCACGCCAGGCTTCACCCGGCAGAGCAGACTCGGTGGGAGCACCCCCATGCCCAGCAGGGGGAAGTTTGCTGCCTCTTTTTCTCTGCCACCTGAAAACCTGACCTTTGAAAATCTCTTCAAGTGAGCATCAGTAACTTCTGAGCCCCTCAGCCTGGGAGGCTGTGGCTGGGGTGCTCCCACAGCAGCACCACGCGTTTTTAAATGTCACTTCTGCCCCGTGGTGACCTCATGTCTTGAATGGCTTTGCTGTCATTGACTTTCAGTCTCGTTGGTTTACTTGTGTATCATGTGTGCTCAGTGAAAACAGAGAGCCCAGGAGGCAAGGCAGCATGCCTTGGTCAGCCCTTTATTTGCTGCCATTACTGAAGGGTCCAACACAATCCCACAAAGGAGGAGGAGGAGGAGAAGCATGGGAAGGAAATCAGCAGTTTGGGAGTTGCTTTGTCACACGGCAAAGGAAAAGGAGAGGATGCAGGATGCGCTGCTCCACTCACAGTTTTCCTCTGCAACTCTCCCCTGCAAGCTCTGCTGGGGGCTTAGGCGGCGAGACCTCAAAATTAAAATAGAAAAAAGAATTGTGAGGAAATGTTCTGCTTTCCTAAGCTGGACTGAGAGGATTGAAAGCCTTGCTGCTGGCTCAGTGAGGTGCAGGCAGAGATGAAGCAGAGGTGAAGCAGAGGTGCAGGCAGAGATGAAGCAGAGGTGCAGTGCATCCTCATGTTTCTTCTTGCCATATCGCCTTCTTTTCCATTTTATTTTTAATTTATTTTTATATAGATTTTATTGATATCTATATACAAATATATATAAATACATATTTAAGAAAGTCAGGAGAGGACTGAGCTAATAACACGGAGTGAACGAAATTTGGGGTTCTCTGAGTTCTTCCATTTCCCATATGTCGCTGTTGAAAGTAAAACTGAGAATGGCAAAGACATCTTGAGCCTTAAAATAGAAAGAAAAATGAGAAAGGGAAAGGTAAATAAGGTGAAAGGGTTCGGAAAGGGAGATGAGCTGGAAGCTGGATAAGGTGAGGTAATCAGGAGTGTGAATAGGCTGCGGGAGGTGGACACAGATTAGGTGCTAACACACGGTAATTTACGCGTTTTGGACAAAACCCAGAGAGGAAGAAAATTGCCCTTGGGATTGAAATGGCAAAGCAATAGGAAGGAGCGAAGTGTGAAAGCCTCGGTGAGTGATGGGCAGAGCACTGGCCCATGTGAGTAAATCAGAAGCAGGGTGGGAGGGAGCCGAGCTCGCTCCAGCCCCGGCAGGAGCTGCAGCCCCCCGGGACCGGCCCCGCTTTGCTCTTCCCCGGAGCCCCCGGCCCTGAGCAGCTGTGCCGGTGGGACAGGGACCCTGGCAGCCCTTCCCGAACATCTGCTCACCCCAGCCGGGCTTTCAGCGGCTTCCTTAGCTTTCCCTCCCATCCGTGTGCTTACAGAAATGGGAATATTGGCTGGCGCGGCGTTCTGGGGCTGGAGGAGGCAGCGGGGCCGGAGCACAAAGGCTGAGTCCCGGGAGGCAGGGTGCCCTGGCACTACACACAGACAGCTCCTTGCCAGCTTCGGGCCGGGTCTCTGCACACCCCGAGGATTTCCAGCTGTCCCCTGACCGCTGGAGATTGTCACAACCAGAGGGTTTGGCCCTCCCTTCTTTCGTTTTTAACCCTGAAGTCCCCTGGCAGACCCTGCCCAAGCTGGATTCTGCTGCTCGTTTAGCCCGTGGCTCATTTCTCCTCACTGCTGGGACCTGTGGAGCAGCGAATCTGCGCTGGGTTAATGCCTGGTGCACCAAAAAAAGCAGAGGCTGGCAAGGAGGAGTGGGAGAAAGTAGATGAAGAGAGAGAGAGAGCTTTGCTGCGGTTGGAGTGCTGGGGGGTAAGGGAGCGACTGGGCTGTTCCTGCAGGCACAAGGAATTCTGCAGGAGGGATGGGGCCGGCTCTTGGCTCAGCTCGGGGTTTGATAACTCTGGTCACCAGCACAACACGTGGGAAGAGCCTTTCCACAAACATTCCCGTGTGTGGGACTCCATCCATGCTCTCACACAGCAGCTCAGGCGGTCACCGTATCCAATTTGGCAAAATGAGAAGTTGTCTGTGCTCCTGAGGATACTGAGCAATAACCCTGATTGCCATGGGCATCACCTACACCCGAGGGTCTGTGCTTCGCAGGTGGACACACTGGACTTCAGCTGAAATATTAATTCAATTCCCTCCTACTCAGGAATAAAACTGTGCTGGACTACCCCAGGAGCAGATGAATTATTTCTTGCTTCTCTCATTCTTGCAGACATATTGCAGATCTCCTACTTAATACAATGTTTTATTTTCCTTTCTTGTGGGGAGACATGAGGACGGGAGAATGAGGGTGCTGCAGCAAACACCAAAGCCAGGGAAATGCACAGAATTAGTGAGGCAGAGCTCGTCTCCCACAGCGAGGAGGGGATGTGACACCGAGAGAGGGGTGAGGGATCTGCATCTGTAATGCCAAAAATCCCAGAACTTTCTCCCGAGTGGTTTTTGTTGTGCTCCTTGGTTGCTGGGGCTGGGGAGCAGTTCAGGCTTGGCAGATCAGAGTTGTCATCTCATTTTCAAGTGCTTCAGTACTTTGTAATCTTGGCAAAAGGACGGTGCTGAAGGGGGTCTGTTCTTGAGTTTCCAATTCTTGCCTTTCCAGTGTCGATTAAACAAGAAAATCTCCTGCAAGCCTCTTCTTGTTGGATTCTTCAGTCCTATTTCAAGATCAAATAGGCTTTAAAACAGGTCTGGATAAGCTCACAGACTTAATCTGCTTGGAAGGTAGAGATTGGGCAAGAGGCCGACGTGACAGCGGCTCCCTGGATCACAGGTGCCTGGGACAGAGCTCCTGCTCCTCCTGCTCTCCTGGACATTCTGGGAGCTGGCCTGAGACATCTCTGCTCTGCCTGGAGCTCTGCACAGCTCCTGCCACCTCAAGGCAGTGCTTTAATGAAACACTCTGCATTTTCTGCCACTAATACTTGAGGGGGTTCAACATTATTGAGGCTAATTAGAATTCAGAGGGAACTGATTGTTCATCAGAGAGGGGGAAAAATGTTCTGTGGAGCCCTGGGTTTGGTAGGACTGTTTCACATAATTAAGCAATTCCACATCTTGGCATTTTATTGCTCTTGTTATCGTTGCACTTTGTTAATAAGTTTTTAATTGCAAATCATCTCTGTGACTCAAATTACATTGTGTTTACTGATCAGCAAAAATGCCATGAAACCAGCCTGGATGCCAACCCTTGCAAAGGATTGCCTGCCAGAGCCTCTCTCTTACATGGCTTGGCATCAAAATGTCTTCAGGTTACCCAAAAGAAATTGATTTCTAGTTTAAAGCGTCCTGAACAGCACAGATCCTTGGCTGAAGCTCTGGGAACAGGGAAAGAAAGGCTCCCAAGCCCTAAAGAAGTTTATGTGTGTGTAGACCAGGAGTTTATCCGCATCCTCCAGATGTTCTGTTTACAGCCTGCCCTGCTGTGGGCACCTCAGGCTGGGGAAAGGTGGCTCCTCATGCCATTATTTAAGAGTTAAATTAACAATTGCCTGTACAGAATTCATGTCAGGCTGAGTGATAGCCACATATCCTAAAACTGAATTTATTTGTTTATTTTCAATGGAGTTTCCAAGCTGAACAGCTGAAAAACATCTGCTTTGTGCTGACAAGGAAAAGACTCAAAAAGCTGAAGTGGGAAAGCTCATTCCTTGCTCTTAAAATCCCTAATTATCCCCCTCCAGGACAAATGGACAAAGCTGAATGAATTTTTAAACTCATTTCTTCTATAATATATGAAGGAAATATGTGAATGTCTATTCAATCTCAGGTGGGAAGTTTCTACTCAAGAGAATAAAATCTG